CGCCCTCCGGTCCGCAGGAAGAGGGTGAACTGGGCGAAGTTCGCCAACCTCCTGGCCAACGCCCCTCAGCCGCCTCCCCCGCCCCCTGCGACCACGGAGGAGCTCGACCAGCAAGTCCTGGGCCTGACAACGCTGCTGCAGGACACTGTGGTTGCCGCCAGCTCTGACGTTGACCCGAGGGCCCCCCCGCCACTTCCCCAGGGGCTGCGGGAGGAGATCGCCCTGCGACGTCGCCTGAGGAGGGCGTACCAACAGTCCCGCTGCCCTCGAGCGAAGGCGGACTTCAACCGGCAGGCTAGGAGGTGCTCCCGACTGCTGGCTGAGCATCGGTCCCAGGAGTGGGAGGACTTCGTCGAGGGCCAGGCAGACACCAATGACGGCATCTGGAAGATCGCCAAGGCTCTGCGCGGCACGAAGACCCACAACAGGCCGCTGCATGGGGGACGCGGGCTCGTCTACTCGCCCGAAGACCGTGCAGAGACCTTCGCAGACTCGCTAGAAGACCAATTTTCCCCACACCCAGACATCTACGACGAGGACTTCTGCGAGGTTGTGGACGACTTCGTAGAGACCTACGAGCCGGACTCCGACGAAGAAGACATCCCCCACGTGACCGTCAGCGAGGTGAAGGGCCACATCGCTCGACTCCGTCCGAAGAAGGCCCCTGGACCGGACTCCCTCGGGACTCCAGCACTGAAGAACCTGCCGGCTTGGGTGATTGTTGTCATCACCTGCCTCTTCAACTCCTGCGTGAGGCTGGCCCACTTCCCTGACACCTGGAAGTTGGCGAACGTCATCCTCATCCCCAAGCCCGGCAAGGACCACATCTTCCCCGAGAACCACAGGCCGATCTCCCTCCTGCCTGTGCTCTCCAAGATGCTGGAGCGGATCATCCTGGCGAGATTCCCCGAGGAGTTCTTCTCTTCGATCAGGACTGAGCAGTACGGCTTCAGGCGGGGCCACTCCACCACCCTCCAGCTGCGGCGGGTCCTCAACACCATCGCTGGAGCGATGGAACGGAAGCACCACTCGACCTCAGTCCTGATCGACGTGAGCAAAGCCTTCGACCGGGTCTGGCACGAGGGGCTTCTCTACAAGCTGGCGTCCTCCCCTCTACCCGGCTCGATCTACAGAATCATCAAGAGCTACCTGACCGCTCGCCGCTTCAGGGTCTCCGTTGGACGGGCGACCTCCACACCACGGCCAGTCTCTTCGGGTGTGCCACAGGGGTCGGTTCTCGGGCCGATACTCTACCTGTGGTACACCAATGACATACCCCTGGCGCCAAGAGTGCAGCTATCGCTCTACGCAGATGATGCGCTCTTCACTGCCACCTCCGCCAACCTGAGGATGTCCAGGGTGTATGTCCAGCGACAGCTGGACCTGTTGCTGCCGTGGCTGACGAAGTGGCGAGTCAAAGTCAACGCTGACAAGAGTGAGGCCATCTCCTTCACGAGGTCGAGGAGGCAGGACGATGGTCAACACCTCCACCTAGACGGGGCCGACATCCCATGGAAGCGCCGGGTGAAGTACCTCGGCGTCCTGCTGGATCAGCGACTCACCCTGACTCCCCACGTCGAGAGGGTCTGCGACCTCGCCAGGAAAGGTCTTGGCGCCATCCGCCCGCTGCTCAGGTCACGGAAGTTGTCAACGGCTGCAAGAGTCCGACTCTACACGGCCCTGCTTCGGCCTGTCCTCACGTACGCAGCCCCTGCATGGTACCACCTCACCTGCAGAACCGCTAGACGGAGGCTGCTCGTCGTCCAGAGCAAGGCTCTTCGGCAGGCGACAGATTCACCCTGGTACGTGAGGAACTCCGTCATCAGGGACTCCACAGCAGTGACAACTCTCCGAGACTTCGTCGACGGCCTTCGAGCGAGACTTGAAGAGACGGCGGATGACTCTCCGTGGGAACACATCAGGGACCTGGTCGCTGAGGATGTTCCCCAGCTTCGCCCCCGGATCGACGACTAACTCCCAGAACGACGTTGACGTCTACAGGTAGCTGAGCTACCAGGGCTTGGACCCACAGCAGACGAGAAGTATATGCTCCTAGCGAGCAGGAGCTTCCCAAGACGTGGCGCTAGTCGCCACAGCCATATACACCTGGACCTGGAGTAGCTGACTGTGTACGAGACTGTGTATGAGCCAGAGGTTCGCGGGTTCGATCCTTACCAATCACAATTACAATCTTTGCTGAGTCTTATTTACATACACCTATAATATACTGCAGTCCATTAAAATGACAAAACAAATGATAATTCACGTATCCAATGTTAAAAACAACTGAAAGAAGGCTTAAACGGAACTTTACCATTGAGCATAAAAAACGGCCTTTGTAAAGGCCACCAAAATGTTGGATGTTAAATTTACATTTCATAGATGTCATGTTTTAATTTTTTTTAATTTGGGGATGATGGGTAATCTGAATAATGTTTCTTTCTAGTGGCTGACTGTGTATGAGCCAGAGGTTCACGGGTTCAATCCTTACAAATCACAATTACAATCTTTGCTGAGTCTTATTTACATACACCTATAATATACTGCAGTCAATTACAATGACAAAACAAATGATAATTCACGTATCTAATGTTAAAAACAAGTGAAAGAAGGCTTAAACGGAACTTTACCATTGAGCATAAAAACGGCCTTTGTAAAGGCTACCAAAATGTTGAATGTTAAATTTACATTTCATAGATGCCATGTATTTTTGGGGTGATGGGTAATCTGAATAATGTTTCTTTCTAGTAGCTGACTGTGTATGAGACTATGTATGAGCCAGAGGTCCACGGGTTCGATCCTTACCAATCACCAAACGTTTTATTTCTGGTCGGGGTGAAATGTTGATTTTTGTTATGGTGATGTATCATAGCGGGAGTAGTGTTAGTCGTTGATCCAAGAGGTTCACAGGTTCAATCCTTACCAATCACATTTACAATATTTGCATTGGGAGATGAGGTTACGTTATTTGGCGGGAAAATAAAAGTGAGGTTAGAACACGTGTGAGGATAGACCACGTGGGACACCAGGGGGCATGGCTTAAGGGAAATACTGCTCTCTGATTGGCTGGGGGAATGCTGATCTCTGATTGGCTAGGGGGCGTGGCCTAGGTGGAATGCTGCTCTCTGATTGGCTAGGGGGCGTGGCCTACGGAGGGGTGGGGATGAAATGCTGCTCTCTGATTGGCGGGCCCAAGCGCTGGGTAGCCTACTGATGAGGCTCCATAAACAATGACGCTTTCAGTACCTAAGCTTAAATTTCTACAGCTACATGGCATACAATGTTGCCTCGAACACATTCATAAAGAACAAGATCAACATTAAAAAATGTATCAACATTCAACAGGACCGATACCGAGTGGCGAGAGAGTGCCGGCAAAACCAGCGAGCCTTTCAAGACCGGAAAATGCCGCGCTTCTGCGCATGCGCTAGTACTGGTGGCGTAGCAGCAGCTATTTCAGAAAGTCACAGTCACTAACCACTAACTAGCGTCGTTGTCGTAGTATTTATCTTGACTGCACTGCAACTGCAACTAGTTCCTCATAATTATTACCTATTCATATCGTTTGTTATTCTTTATGTTATGATCGAGTTATGTCTGAGTTGAAGTTGGGGTTAATGTTATTGATAGATTTTGATTGCTGCTGTGTTGCGGAGGTCATTTATTATCGATGATGTGCTCCTTCTTCAATGCGAAAATTCTGAGAAATACGAGTAATGGAAGACATCAATAACACTGGAGTACTTTGTAGTTTATGTGGAAAAGTTTATTTTTAGTTTATGGACGAGAAGTACAAGTACAGAAGGATTCCAATTAATAAGCCAGCTATGTTCAACAAGGCAAGGCCAATAAAATAATTTGTTTTATTCACTAGCGCTTTTGAATGGAAACCTAGTTTCTGAAAGCGCTAGTGAATAAAATAAATTATTATGTATTAGCGTTGTTGAACATTTAGATTTTGTTATAAATTTCATTGTAAGCAAGATTCCAATAATGAATAATTCTCAAAAAGCTTAGACCATTAAAAATGAAATGAGAATTGGGATCTTCTCTTTTGGAAAACATGTTTGGGTACAATTGAAGATAGATGAATAGATGATAACGGTAACGTAGCCCACCCAAGTTACTTAAAATTTGTTTTATAAAATAAAGGAGGTGCCAGAGGTTACAGTAAGTAAAGGAACACATACATAAACATAATCTGTAAAATTCTTCATTCAGTTACAGTAATTAAATGGTTTGGAGTTAAGCGCGGGAGAACCGTTCCAGTTTCAAGTAGATTGTTGCAAGAGTTGCAGTGAAGATACTAGTGTGATTTTCTGAAACAGCTGCAGCTGTTACAAGTGCTACGAATAACGCTTACTTGCGCATGCGCAGACGCGCGGCATTTTCCGGTCTTGAAAGGCTCGCCAAAACCATTGGCAAAACCGGTATTTACTCAGGGGAGGTATAGGGGAGGTATACGATGACAGCTGTGGGCTTCTTATTAGCTGAGGGAACGCTCAATACGGGTTGTGGACATCGGTCTCGGTGGTCTTGAGGTTAGCGTGCCGGGCTGTTGTGCTGAACGTCTTGGGTTCGAATCCCGCTGATAATATTAACTTTTTGTCTAAGATTTTTTCATTATCAGCAAGTTTGGTTGGTTTGGTTTGTTTATGACAGTTTAATTTTATTATTAAGTCATTATACAATTTTAGTTGAGCAATTTCTAGTTTTATTTAATAAACATAATTATTTTTTCTATTAGTAAACGTTTTTATATTATTTAATTATCAGCAAGTTTGAGGTTATGATAGTTTAATTTTCAAAAATTAAAAAATATAAAATTGAATTTGAGGCATTTATAATTTTATTTTATGAACAGAACTATTTTTGCGATTAGTAAACCTTCATTGCCAAAGTGCTCTCTACTACAGCGCTGTTCACGGAGGAATTTTGAGCTAATGCCTCATTTGTACCTCCCCTAAGTCAGACCCGGCAAAACCGGCATTTTAGTATTTTTATTTATTATTTTGTCATTTTGTGTGTTTTTTTACAGACGAACTGTGTGTGTAATCGAAATCGTACCGTTCGCGAAGTGAAGTTAGGTTAATTTTGACTTTATTAAAAGGTAAGTTACAATTAGTCAATTAGGGTACTGTAGTTCAAAATAAAAAAATTGTAAGTTAACAATAGTTTTTCTGTCACTAAATAAGAAAATATGGTTTAACGGGTTTTCTGATTAACTTAGTTATTATTTCGTTTTAACCACGTCAAACTTGTTTACCAAACATCGTTCTGCTGGGTTCCAGATTATTTTCCCTAGGCCTATAAGAAGTCAAGTAATAGGTATTTACCTACTGTAGCCTACTCAAAGTCTGCACTCGTCATTCTTAAAACGTTTTTATGATTAACAAACTAAAATGTAAAAGTTAGGCCTAACTTAAGTTTAGGTAAACTTAGTGGTAGGTAACTCTGAAGTTAGGCCTCCTATAGTGTAATTAAAGCGGCTTAATTTTCAACTCAAATACTGTAGTCTTTATCATTATTTTTACAAAGATGATAGGCCTAGCCTTAAAAAAACTGTTGACTAATAATACAACTAACTTAAACATTCTATCCCCATATTAAATTTGTAAGATTTTTTTAATCAAAATTGTCATAGTTGATGTGACCCTCCCTCCGACAGATTGCGTTGATCTAAATCACTAATTTCTGTTGAATACACAATCTTTATTACCAATTCAAACTAGCCTAATGGAATGACTTATTGTGAGCAACTGTTATGACCCATCAACTTTCATTATTATTTGACAACGTAAATTTAAGAATGAACGTTGCTGTTTCTTAAGTATACACGTATAGCTGCTGAGTGTGGTGAGTTAGTAAGGCAAGTCAGTAGCATGACAAACTATATTCAATTTTTATTTATGTCCATACAGTATCCTTAAGTGCTGAATCAAAAAACAATCAGTTTTTTATAGGAAAAATCTTAGTCAAGTGTCTGAAAAACAACATCAAAGTTTTAAGTTACGATCCAATGCACAATGGAATCATTCCAATACTGTAACGTTTAGGATAGGCCAGAAGATGCTTTATTAGAGGTTAGGAGATTATGAGAAGAAAATTCATTAAATCAGTACTAGGCCTAGGCTACCGGTAGGCTACCTTAAGTTAAATACAAAGGATTTTACAATGGCAGATTTCAAAACTTCAACGGAAATCTGGATTGAAATAACGTTGGAAAACAAGACAAGTAACAATGTAGTTGGTCCCTCTTCAATGTTTGTTTTAATGAAACTGACCTTTTTCAGATAAATTTGATTCAACATGAGCCGTAAAGAAGTTTTTTCTCAATTCATTCAGCAGATCCATGGAAGACCAGTTGTAGTGAAACTTAACAGTGGTGTTGATTATCGAGGTAAATAAGTAGGCATTCTTAAGTTACCTAGTGCATTAATTGTTTATTTTATTTATATTGCATAGTTTATTGATATTGTTATTGTTAAACATATGATTTTAGCCTATATTTTATGCATAGAATCATTGACCATTGATAGAACTAAACATTCTGTCACTGAGTAAAATTTTTGCTAGTTTTTAAATAAAATCTGTAGTAGTAAAATTAAGTCCCCCTACAGATACCAATATGGAATAGGCTAGAAAGTATGGCTGATTTGTGTGGTGATGCACATTTGTAGTCGTGGAGTGACTTAGATGAATTGGCTGGCTAGTAAAGGGGATTGTGGTGTTGCCTGATTATTAATCGCTGCCTTGTATTAGAGAAGTCCATGACGGAACAAATGCCAAAAGAGTCTTCAGAATTTTAAATTTGATAAGGAGGTTTTGCTGGATATAACTTATTCTATAGGTATGCTGTTTTTAAAAATATTTTTCATCTATCAAACATCTTCAGTGCCTAAAAATATCTCTTTGAATGTTTGTTTGACAATTTTACAACTTTAAACTATCTCGATCTCTAAGTTTTAACTTTTTTACGAATACCCTAAACCTAGGTTTACTTGGCACGAAAGCGGGATTCAGTTCTCCTCTGGTCATACGTAATTTTAAATGGTAATTTTTCCCTAGAATCGCAGTGGACTATGCTGAACATGCGGAAATTGCTCCTCCATGTTCCTCTGCTCCAAGAGGAATATATACCGAAACCCTACAAGGCTGACGCTAACCAAAACCCCCGGTCTGTGAGACCCCATTTGAAAACAATGGACCACGCTTAGAAAAACACAAAACAAACCCTGGGCCTGTGAGATCCCGCTTTAAAATACACTAACGCTGGGCTTCTGAGACGGTCATATTATGAACAGTTGACCTGTCAAGGTCCCGGCACCCACGCAAAATTAACAAACAATATATCAAGAGGTAGGGGAGGAAAAGGGGGAAAGGTATTGGGGGAATGGAATTCCCCAAGTATATATATATATATTATATATATACACGCAGTTACTGCATGTAATACAGTTAGTGGTAGTGCATACACATTGTGTAAGATAATTTGTCACACTAACTTATCTTAATGGTATAAAACTGCTATTTTGGAGACTTAGTTTATACCAATTTTTCCCAAACCCCCCCCCCCCCCCTTGTGACTGTTCTATATTCGCCACTGACTGCAAAGAGAAACAACTTTCTGAGTTGATCTCACCACATCTCTCCCAGTATACAAATGAGGGACTGTCTCGCTCTCCGAGATAAAGTCTGTGTCTAGGAAATCTTAACGTCGCCGATTAATCCCAATGAGTCACTTACACAGAGCCAACTTCATGTTCCACTACCGTGTCTAGGAAAACCTAGTTTGAAATATTTCAACGATGATTTTTCTTTGCAGGCGTATTGGCTTGCATCGACGGATACATGAACATTGCATTGGATCAGACGGAGGAGTATGTCAATGGCCAACTCAAAAACAAATACGGAGATGCCTTCATCAGAGGAAATAATGTCCTGTATATCAGCACGCAGAAAAGAAGAGGAGCTTAATGTCTTAACATTTTACTTTAAGAATTTCATTTTGTTACCTACAATTTATTTCCGCTAATTAAAGAATAAGATTTTTATATTTTGTTAAATTTCCTTTGTGTTGAACAGTTCTGTAATGCTTGGATTAGAATGATTTTGTTTACAATGATGCACTTTTATCATCTAATATTTAACATTTTATGTTTTCTTAAATAATTAATTTTTTTAAAAGATCAGTGATTTATTTAATTTCCGTGGAATCAAATCCATTATTGTTAAATAACAAAACAGGAGTCGGTCTGTAGCTATCTTTATGTAAAACTTTAGCACAATTAGTTCAATAATTGTTTGCATACCAATGCAAGGATTGGTCTGGCCATGGATATCATCAAGGGTCATTGCTAGGTCCGTCATTCTTCCTGTCTCTTCTAAATGTTCTTTTCCAACACCATATTACAGGAGTGTACAGATGAGGTAGTGTCTTGTGCAGATGATACTCTGTTGGGAGAAACAAAATATTAGTGAGTGGAAATATCATATGACAGATGATTAAAGTTGACATCCCATTCTCTTGTTAAAGCCAATTAATACAAACCCTTTAAGAAGCGAAATGCTTCTGGAGAATAGTCAGACTGGAATTTTGCCGCCTAAATGAGCTTCGCGTGACCGCCGCTACGATCGCTCACATGGCAGCCTCGCTACTCTATCTCTCTCTTTCTTTCTAAGCAGATTCTTTGTCTCACTCAGCTGACTTGGCCGCGGGCTCGCTATAGTCTACCTAGTGGCCGCCGCGGGAACTATAAAAAATTTAAATATTTTGACAGTGGCGCACTCGAGGAACTCGCTCAACTATAACATAAAAATTTGCTATATCTGGTACATAATATAAATGGGAGTTCTACTTAGTTTTCAAATGTCAATGAGTTTATTTCATGTGGATTCAAGACAAGTTGTTCTCAGATTGCATAGAAAATTTGAAACCCATTAAGGTTGCGCTATGGAATTTGAAAACTAACCCCATGAGAGTGAGTATCTATTAAGTCATAACTATGTCATGTAAAAAATTGACATAGCAAACATTTAATTTCACACTTTTTTATTTTAAGGCAAATTAGGCTACGTCATTTATTGAGTATTTTCAAGAAATGCATAATAGTAGATTGTAGGAAATTTTATTCTCTTTCGGAATATTGCCTTCCACTTTGGTCGATTTCCTCACCATTTAAAAGTTATTTGCAAAAACGTCAAGCAACCTCAAAATTTCTAGTGGTAAAAAAGTTGGAGATTACTACTTTTTAACTTTGTACAATTAAATCTACAGTTCTGCTGGATCGATTTAGTTAAATAATGTGCCCTTGGAAGGCATAATCTCTTTGAGTTGTTTTTTCGTTTGATGTGTATTTTATAGCGGTAAGTTTAATAGTATAAAAGTTATAAAGTGTTAAAACCGGGTCATTCATTTTGAATCACCTGGTACTATTAATTTTAACAATCATTATCATTATTAATATAATCGCAAAGTGTAGAATGGTGTGAGATGACCTGTCTGTGTGTGTAGCTTTGTTACTGACCATAAGAGTTTTTTTTTTAGTTTCAGTAGCCAGGATAGTTTTAAAAGCCCAATGATCAGGGAGAGCTGGGTCCAGATGAAAACTACAGTATCAAAAAGCTACTAACTTTTCTCTGGATCGAACCAGCATTTTTGATTGATAGGCCCAAAAATCCATTATTTTACTAACTGTACTACTATTTTGACTGTATGGGTACTAACAACAACTCACAATCACTGCTTACTGCTGTTCAATGGAGTAATCTAATCTTTTTACTTTTTTCCAGTTATTTAGTTGTTTTATATTGTCTTCCATTGTAGGTATGATCTTCCAACAATTCGTTCCAAGTTGTAGGGAAGGGGCGTTCCATGATAAATTGTTTAGTTAAATGGAGAATTTTCTTGTATCTTGAATATTTTCCAAGGCGGTTTGGTAATAATTTGTATAATTTTATACCTCATCCATATGTTGGGGTTCTGGAGTTTTTTATTTAGTTTATGTTGGGGTAGATTTAGGTCGTTTTTCCTCCTGGTGTTATGGGTTTCAAATCGTTTTGATGTAGGATCCAATTTTATTGTTGGAGTGTTATTACTTCATTAGATATAAGGATGTTACTGCAACAAAATGCTTTTAAAGCAACGTTTGTAACGTTCTTATGATAATTGAGCTTATTTATGGTTCTTATTGCTTATTTATGTAGTACGAAAATTGATTGGGAGAGGTCTGCACATTTTGTGCAGATTCCCCGGCAATAATACCTCTAAAGACATGTGTGATTCGCAATAAGAGCGTGGTAAGCAATTTTGGTTATAGCAGAGTCTTTAAAGTTGTTACTCTTCTAAGGGTGTAAATTTGGTGTAGATAATACATGCGTAATTAAATATATGGCAGTTCTATTTTAGATTGTCATCTGGATTCCTAGAAATGTAGTATGGTCTGATTTGTTTAGGTTTTATTTATCTTTTGGAGCTTTGTTTGAGTTCGGGTTGCAGAAGATTCAATCAAAATGTTTTTTTATTGTTGATTTTTATGTCCATTGAGTTGCAAAATTCTTCCATGTATTTTAGAATATTTTATATCTCCGTTTTTAAGAGTCGTCTTCACCCCTGCGAAAACAATACAAACAAGCCTTGGACGTCCCTCGCTCCAGAAGGAATTTGTGAAAATATGTTAAAATTTTTCCCCTCACAGATTTAATGCTAGTTCTAGGGCTCTCATACATGATATATCCAAGAAAATCAATACAGTAGTATTTACAAAAAATCTTAAAGTAAATAAATTGAGTCACTTTTAAACCCTGATAAAACCAATTATTTTTATTTTCAATTTTTGAGGTATAAAAAGAGCTCTAATATAACTATTCAACTACATTGATACAAAATTTCAAGAAAATCTGTTGAAAAACGGCCACCGAAACGGGGGACAAATATACGAAAGTATCATTTTTCGTCGGAGGCTACTGCGCTACTAACCTTTTACAAAACTTGTCTCGGCAGCAGGTGATTCACGGACGTGTCTTAGTACTTAGTAGTCGTGTGTTTACAATGTTTTCAGAAAGGCGCGCATAGTGACCCCGAGCTACCCTCCTGTCCTTAACTCCTTACCCCTAAAACGCAGGGTGATGAAGACTTAAAAGAAGGTCCGATCTTGAGGGATTAGTACTCTTGTCGTCATCGGCACAAATCATACAATATACAATCCATTCCTTTCTGAAGGGTTTCAAGAAAAATCGTTTTAGGCCCCCTATATTTGATAAAAAGAAGGGGTCAAGGTTGCTTCCTTGAAGTGATTCTTTTTGGGTTAAATTTTGAAGCTTTGATTTGGTTTTTTAGTTCGATGTTGTTTTTAATGTAGCATATTATTTTATTTAGTTTTTTATGTTAAAATGTTGCAACCCTACTCAATGACCATGGTCAACTGAGCTAAAATGACTGTACAACTCATAGATATGAATGAATACTCTAAAATATCTTTAGCAGCAGTGCTTTAGCGCTATAATCTATGCAGGTGCTCAGTGCTCAGTGCCAGTGCAAAAGTCAAGTCAGTCTCAGCCACTGTCTCAGCACACTCAGCCTCTGCTTAGTACTCTCACTCACTCAATCTTAGTCCGTTGAAGAAAGTTCTATCATTGATTAAGCATACTCCCTAAAGCTGGGTTTTCCTAGACGCGGAGTCGGCCAGCGGAGAGCGGACAACGGAGAGCGGAATTAAAATTAACATGGCATTCCGCTCCGCTGCTAGGAAAACAGTAACATTAAATTACCTAAGACAAGCTGAGTCCGCTCGTGGGGTCCCAGTTTATCGACATCCCAAAAGATCGACACTGAAATAGTCCCACTTTGTCGACAACTCAAAATGTCGACAGTGTCGGTAATATGGGATGTCTGTAAAGTGGGATGTCGGTTATGTGGGATGTCTGTTATGTGGGACGGTTGTGTAAATTTTCCCACTTTATCGACACGCAAAATGTCGACAAGCAAAACAGATCGAAAAAGAGCGGGAGATTCAAATTGAAGGTGAACAGCTCTTGCTGAACAGATCAGTTGAGTATAATGAGAGTCGTTCTTTTTTTAACTCCGAACGACTTCTATTCACGACGCTTGCAGTCTCCTTCAAATTTGTCAATGCTATATCAACTATCTTGTGTATATAATATGTGTTCTGCCGTTTGAAGGCTTTACAATAATTTGACATTTGTTACACTTGTATTATGATTCGTTATACTGTTTTTTTTCGTGTAAGAAGGTACCTAGTTAAAACTTGCTACCTAGGCCAAACTTAGCTTGAGGATGAATATGGTATCCATCTAAAGTGTTTTCAATCATAAATTTATTTGAAATATACAGGTGTTCATTTGAAAACTTTCCATATCTCTTGTGTGCAAAGGTAAGGCGTTTAACACTTGTTTGTTCTCATTTCCCCCTAATTTGGACATGCAAAATCCAATAAAATAATTTTTAATTTTGAAAAATGCCCCAAAGGGCCCAATTTGGGGGGTAGGGGTGCTTTTTGAGAAATTTTCAAATATAAACATGGGTTGTGTGATACATCAATTTAAAGGTCTAATCACCCCGATCATTTTTGTGCAAACAAATTTAATTATCTTTAACCGTATTTACAGGGTGGATCAAAACGTTTTACAAAAGGACTATGAAGTTAATAGCCCAGTAACTTAAGTTAAAAATCAAGGCCAACAAAGACATGAAAGATGTAAAGCTGATTTTTTGCATGGTGATAGTGTATGATAGGAAGGGTGTTTTCTGAAAGTTTCCCGAATTTCCCCCCCCCCTTGCTCCCCTTAAAACCCCCCCCTCCCCCAAAACACCAGGTTGAAAGTGTAGTGTTTTACTAAATAGCCTATATCTTTTGATGTAAACGAGCTATCAGCATAATTATTTTTTCTTTGAACTCCCCATTAAATTTACTTTAATAAAATTACCTTACATGTAGCATTATCTTTATTGGGTGGGTTTATATCTGTAATATAACAAAAAATATTATTTTTTAACATAAAATTGTAGATTAGGTCAAACCCTGGTTTTTGCAGT